GTTTGAGAGAGGCGGGGCATATAGGACCTACAATAATGTACAGTATTTGAAAAATAATGTGTTTTTTGAACATTAAAGCATGTCAACATATTCTGTTACACCAAATACACAAAATAATGATCTTTAAAAAAGCATCATATGACCGCTTTAAGTAAAATGAAAAAGCCGAAGCCTTCTTACACTGGCTGTGCTGGTTTGGGCCTCATTGCCGGCTGCAGTCATGTCCTTATCTCATATAAAACACCAGTGATTCACAAATACTTGCTAAGGAACTCGCATTCACATAAAGTAGCCTTGTTGACAAGTTTGGGTGTTTAAGGGCAAAACTCACAAGATGCAGTACTTTCAGTGACCTGTAATAGGCAGTATCACGTCTTTTGTAGCAGAAATAAACTGCTGCAGAAAAAGCTAGGTCCATGCAAAATGTAATGTGTAACTGCAACACTCATTTCAAATGTAGTGGACTAAAGAGTACAGATACTCATTCAAAAATGTAGCGAAGTAAAGAGTAAAAGTTGCTAATATCTTTGATACTCAGTACAACTACAAAGTATCCGAAAAGATACTCAAGTACAGTAAATAATTACATTTACTCCAATACTTTACATCTCTGTCAGTTTTGTAGTTTTGGTTCCCGAATGTAGCAGGAAGTGTGGGGAGATGTGTGTCCTCCTCCCTCATGGGTTAAGTGAGCATGACCAGCAGTTGTTAAGCAAAACAGCTGTCCATCGTGTGTCAGAGCGCATGTGTTTGAATACGTTCAACTTAGTCGTCTGTCAATGGCACTTTGTATGCGGTATAAACATGCTCCTATGTTTAACATGCACACATTGGAGAATGTTGTTGGGCGGAGAACTGTCAAATTAAAGACTTGTTACATTTTTTTTTCTGTCACTAGGGTACATTTTAAAACTTGCATACCTCACAGGTACATAGATCAGACTGAAAAATGTACTATATCCTAATTAGTTAATGTAAGTTAGTATATTATTAAAATCTTTTGACAGAAGTTTTGAAAAACTTTGGTGGTGGCTTAAGAACAGTATATACAGCACATTTAATAATTAACTTCTTCAATTTTCCAAAACATAAAAGTTTGTACCACATTTTGTATGCAACATGAGGTAAGATCCCTCCATCAAAAAATAAATAAATAAATAAACAAAAATAAAGAATAAAAAAACGTTTAAAAATAAAATAAAATAAAAAATACAATAAAATACAAATAAAAATGCCCAAGAAATGACATTAGTAAGATCTTTCATGGTGGGAAGACAGGTAAACAATTTGTAATGCTGAGAGCAAAGCCAAACCACAAAAAATAAATGGTAAACAATTTAGAAATTGTATTGAATTTTGATTTTAATGAATGTTTATTGCTAAAGAGCGTATTAAAATCTTTCAAATCAACGTTTTAAACTGTATTTATGTCCCAAATATTACATAAATTTAAATGAAACAGAAACAAATACTAGAAATAAACTGGTTAATAAAATGATAATAACTTTCGCTAGCGTTAAATAGATTTAATACTATGTTGTGTCCTGAGAATGTGTCCATCATTTCAGCAGAACACCTGTCAGTCCATAGATATGTACAGGATATCTATGTATCAGTCATCCAAGATCGCCATCTAGAGCTAAAAAAAGGAACTGCGTAAAATTGATCAGCTGATTCACAGTCATGTGACCAAATACGGAAGAATTTTGATTTTAATGAATGTTTATTGCTAAAGAGCGTATTAAAATCTTTCAAATCAACGTTTTAAACTGTATTTATGTCCCAAATATTACATAAATTTAAATGAAACAGAAACAAATACTAGAAATAAACTGGTTAATAAAATGATAATAACTTTCGCTAGCGTTAAATAGATTTAATACTATGTTGTGTCCTGAGAATGTGTCCATCATTTCAGCAGAACACCTGTCAGTCCATAGATATGTACAGGATATCTATGTGTCAGTCATCCAAGATCGCCATCTAGAGCTAAAAAAAAAGGAACTGCGTAAAATTGATCAGCTGATTCACAGTCATGTGACCAAATACGGAAGTAATCATGCAGCGTTTGTCTACATTGGCATCATGACTTTGTGACACAAATGTATTACTAAGTATATTTTCTTGTGAGTGTTGTCTTCAGGTGTTTATGATATGCCAGATCAGCTATGGTGAGTTGTTTCTTAATCCACACGGTGTGTCCGGTGAGCGCGCTGTCCGCAGCCGAGAGTCGGATACTGTACGCGCGCGTGTTCGGACCGGAGACCGGAGACGCTGACTTCACACCGGAGCAGAGACGACTGATGCAGAAAGAGAAACTCCACGTGGTAGCGAGGTGAGATGAATTCACGATTGTAAACCATTTCCGCCAAATTCTTACTCACAATCAAACCGACAACTAAATTATTACAATAACAAATAGGAGATTTCATGCAAATGTTTGTTACATCATTTTGTTTAATGATCATCAACTTGTTTTGATGACTGGGATAGTTCACCCCCAAATTGAATTCTATCGTCATTTACTCACCCCCATGTCGTTCCAAACCCGTATGACTGAGTTTCTTCTGTGAAATATAAAATATATTTTCAAGAAGGATGGTAACCAAACCGTTTTGGTTACCATTGACTTGTATGTACAACCTCCCCCCCCCCCAAATCATACAGGGTTGTTTGGAACAACATGAGAGTGAGCAAATGATGACAGAAATGTTATTTTTAGGTAACTGTCCTGCTAATACCAATATCTGTATTAGCAACAACTGCAGTAACAGTGGTATTTTGTCAGAAACAATGTTTACTGGTACTTTGTATGTGTAACCAAGGGAAACAATACTCTCTTTTTTTCTGCCCCTTTTCTCTCTGTCAGGCAGGCGAGGAGTGCTGTGGCTCTGAGTAGGGAGGCCTCAGGCGGTTTGTGTGTGGAGGCAGTGCTGGGTGAGGAGGCTGCAGCTCTGGGTGAAGCTGACAGCGGCATGTTTTCCCTGGGCAATGCAGAGCTCTTTCCACATCGGAGTGTTGTTCTGTGGCTGGGGGTTCAGTCTCTAGCGTTCAGTCTGGTCTGCAGACCACACGAGAACCTCCTGCTCGCAGAGGGAGTGCTTCGCAACATTGCACGTCACTGCCTGGAGGAGCTACGTCTGCTGGGACCTGGTGCTGAGGTGAGGTTTTTCTGGGACTAGTGATTGTTTTATTAGGGGTGCTCAATTACTATTGCTTATCCATAGGGCTCAAGACTTAATGAAAATAAATTTAACATGAATGAAAATGTTAGAAAAACTAACGATGACAAATCCAGCATGTTTTGTGCTACAGCTATGACGAGTAATAACTTACAGTATATTGTGGGGCTTGTTGAGGAGCCACTGCTGCTCACTGGAAATCATTACTTTCTGAAACACTTGCTTATAGAACTTATAAAAATACTACAATAATGTGACATCCGATATTTTTTTAGACCGTAGTTTTTGAAGTATCTTGTCTGTGTGTGCATGCATGTACATGTTTGTATATGTGTTGCATGTTAATCTGTTCACTGTGCTTGCGTGTTTGCATATGGGTATAAAATACAGCACCAAAATTTAAATGTATCCAAAAAATGGAATATGTACACTATACAGTTCAAAAGTTTGGGGTCGGTAAGATTTTTAAAAATGTTTTCTCTTATGCTCATCAAGGCATTTGATAAAAAATTAAAACAGTAATATTGTGAAAAAAAAAAAAAAAAAAGTTGATATATGTCATTAATTCCTGTGATGGAAAAGCTAAATTTTCAGCAGCCATTACTCCAGTCTTCAGTGTCACCTGATACTTCAGAAATCATTCTGATATAGTGATTTGGTGCTGAAGAAATATTTCATATCACTATCAATGTTGAAAACAGTTGTGCTGCTAAGTATTTTTGTTGAAACCATGATACATTTTTTGGGGATTCTTTGATGAATAGAAAGTTCGAAAGAACAGCATTCATTTGAAATAGTAATACTGAAAAATCTTACTGACTTCAATAACAATACATGGTAGTGTAAAATGTTATTATTACTGTGTGTTTGAGTGACTGTTGTGTGAACGTATTTATGTTGTTTGGTGTTTTCATTGTATCATTGTGTAGATTCATGCAGCCTAGAGTCTGAAAACTATTGTATTGCTTTTATTGTTACAGCTGAAATTGAACTTCTGTTGAACTCCAGCAATCTTATAAAGTACTCTGAGTGCAATGTTTTTCTTATGTCTGCTGGTCTAGTTTCTTCCCACCAAAAAGACTAGCACAATGGGCACAATTGAAATGATGATAAGAATATACATCTCACTCTGTGAGAGAAACATGATAAGCTGTTAATTACATTGTGATCAATACGTTCACAGAAAAGCAATCCAATGAGCTTAGGGGTATTTTCTGCAGAAATTTACTAAAGAATTATATTCTTTCCAATGACTGAATGAATAGGGCTGAAGTTGTTGTCATACAGTGAACAAGGACACACATTCAAAGTAAATAGGCAAATTGCCAAGCTATTGATTATTTGATGCTACCCTTTTTCTCTCTGGCTGACATAGCTGTTATTTTCAGATGTTGCTGAAAAGTGATCGCGTGGATGCATTGTTGCACAGACTGCTTCCCCATGGTCAGCTCCTCTTCCTTAACCACCGTTTTGCCTTCGCCCTGGATAAAGAGATAGCAAGCTACGTGAGCAAATGAAACAGTGTGTGTATTGGTATAAACATGAGGATTTGCCACATATTTAGAGAGTAATATATAAACTGCCTGATAAATCGAGGATGTTCTGATTTAAGAGATTTGGAGGAACAACTTCTCCTCTGAAGGTGTAATGGCATTCGAAAAGTAGAAGATTGCACACACAAAGTGTATTGTGAACCCTTTGTTTTTTCCCTTTGAGGAAACCAGAAGGCACATGTTCTAAAACTTTAATTGCAGTTTGACATCAGATTAGATGAAAAAAGGCACAGCAGCACAGCTTTTGATATATTGGTGAGAGATTCTTTAGAGCTTATTCAAGTAAAGCTCTTTACACATTTGATCTCTCAAATGTGGAGTACCTGATTAACTGGCCATAAATGGTCAATTGATAACATTGTTCATTGAGTTTCTTGTTAATTAAAATCTGAATTTATATTATTATTGCTGTCTGGCTGGGTCAAAATAAAACCATTGCTGTATATATCTGGCTCTCCTCTAGAGGGCAGTGTTGCATTTTATTAATTGCTATATGTTTTTGCTTTAGTCAAGTGCATGGCAATTTGAATAATCCTCTTAACACTTTCATCTAAAATAATTCAGTAGTTCACAGCAGTGTGTCTGCCAACAGATCTGAGATGGCTGATTGACAAGGCCATATGACGCCTTGATATCTAGGCCAACGGAGCAATCACGCAATTCCTGAAAATCCATTTTTAGCCTCTCTTTCCCCTGATTTAATAATGACGAGTTACCTCTGTCATCATGCTGTGCTGGAAATGAAGGGAGGGTGAGGAGGATGTCCACTTATAGTTATTGTGAGGCCAGTCATAACTCACAAGTACTGCGGTTCAATATGTTGACTGGTGAGTGTGAGGCTTTTCTGGCTTCCTTGTGTCAGCTGCCTTACAGAGTAGTGATGGTTAGCATTTCTCTCGCATCAAGCATGACAAGAGCCCTGTTATGGCCAAATGTTCTGTAGCTGTGAAGTGTTGTTTAGACACTCGCATTGAAAGGACCTATAGCACATTACATGTCATCACAATAGCATTTGAATTGAGTAGCATGCGGTTAGTGATATCTCAAATCTCTCACTGCATTTCTGTGGATGTTATAAAATTTCACATTTTCAAGTGACTGCTTTCAAGGGGTCTATATTTGTATTTTTTAACCACTTTAGGTCCTCTTAAAATGACTGGAAATGTAGTTTTTCATAACCAACGTTTTTTTGCTGCTATGCCTTTAAGGTATCCGTGTAAACACTGTTGTCATATGTGAAAACAGCTTTTTGCTGTTGCAAAATGTGCTGCACAAAATGTTAAGATTTTGGGACCTTGTTAAAATGAACTTCACCCCTTTTTCCTTACGTTGAGATGCTTTTGAAGCATTTGCAGAGCAGTAGGTGCTACACACAGCCATTAACTAGGTTTTTCTGATGTTAGGAATGACAATTAAACGTTGAATTATGAATGTGGGTAGTTATATGTTAATGAGTTTTGGTTTTCTGACATCAGGAATCTATGGATTTTGGAGCAAGCCATTTTTGCAGTTTAGTTTCAACAGATTGTCTTTTTGAATTGGGAAGGAATTTTTGTTTTTAAGTTATTGTATATTTTTAGAGTGTATTTTCATTTGAGAAGATATTGTGAACACAAATTAAGTATTTACTGTACTACTAATTTGTTCTCTCATTTTAATTTTTAAATGAAGGAACGAATCAATAATACTATATTAGTAATAATATTCTAACAACAGTAAGCGTTAATAAATAATAGACACATGAATAATCCTAATATACAGTTTTACCTATATTTTTTGAAGCAATGTTAAAATAAAATGCATCATCTTGATCAGGCTTTAGTGTCTTGATTTTAAGTAGAATAAACATACAGAATATCATAGTGCTCAATGTGTCACAACGGCAAGGGAACTGTAACATGAATTTACTTTGGGACTAAAAAAAACCCAGAGAGGGGAGTTAGACTCATGATTTCATAAGTCCTCCACAATCCATTTAGATACAGATTCTTTTATTTGAGAGACATTTGAGTCACTCAGGAGATTTAGATATTTATAATACAGATTTTCTTTATAACGTTTTATTCCTCTCACAAACACATTAGTGTTATCTTTTCAAAACAGTAAATTCAAGTAGGAGACAGTTTGTCCTTAATGGTTACTCCCCTGTTGTTCCAACTGCTTCAAACAACACAACAATATTTAGTGTGTTATTAATTCCAACATATTCATCATTCATCACACGAGGTTAAAAAAGCCTTGGTTTTAAATGTACGCTTGCACAACACAAACGCAATTATTACAGAAATCAGAGCGTTTCTTGGCACATTTGGATCCACTTCAGCTGTGAAATCTGTTATTCAGCTGTCTGATGATTCTGTCCTAAATTGGGGAATCTTTTTTCTCCCAGGTCTTGATGAAAGCCTCATGTAATCACATTTAATTGCTTCAGTTTATGCTGAATCTCAGCTCTAACCGTAGTAGTGTTATTATTACTGTCACTCTCTTTTACCCCTTCATAATAAAATGTCTGTCATTTAACTGTCTGTACATTTCCCTCTACACTCTGAAAAATGCTGGGTTAAATATATTGGGTTTAAAACATCCCAACCGCTGGGTCAAAACAACCCAATAGCTGGGTTTGTCCCTTTTTAACCCAGCGCTGGGTTATATTTAACCCAGCATTTTTTAGAGTGTAGAAGAACTTTTTAAAATTGAACCTTCATTATGTTAAACCTTTGCGTTATGGATATAATCCTAAACATAACTAAATTGAGTATAGAGATAAAACTTGCATAATCACAAACTCGAAGGAATACTTTACCTAAAAATGAAAACCTGCTGAAAATGTACTCATCCTCAGGCTATCGAAGATGCAAATGAGTTTGTGCACTCTAAAAAATGCTGGGTTGTTTCAACCCAACTTTGGGTCAAATATGGACTAACCCAGCTGTTGGGTTAAATTTTTAAATTAAATATTTTTTACCAAAAGTTGGGTTAGTCCATATTTGAAAAAACCCAGCATTTTTTAGAGTGTCTTCATCTGAACAGATTTGGAGAAATTTAGCATTGCATCAGTTGCTCACCAATAGATCCTCTGCAATGTATGGGTGCCATGAGAATTAGAGTCCAAACAGCTGATAAAAACATCAGTAATCCACACGACTCCAGTCAATTATTAGCCGGGTTTCCATCCAAAGTTGCGAATTTAACTTATGCGCAAAATTGGAATATCGCACAAAACATTTGCGAACAAGCACCGTTTCCATTTCGAAATTCAGCGTTTCCATCTCTCGATTCTGATGCGATACTTCAAAATGCGCATAAAAGCCGGGTGATGGAAACCCAGCTATTGTCTTGTTAAGCAAAGAGCTGTGTGTTTGTAAGAAACAAATTAATCATTAAGATGCTTTCAACTTCAAACTGTCGCTTCTGGCTAAAATACAACTCCTCTATCCATAATATTGCTTTCTCCATTTTAAAAGTCTTAGTCGGGAGAGAAATTCGACAGATGTGAGAGGACAACAGGGGATGGACTTTTTCAATGGAGGACACAATATTATGGTTTATAGACTATTATGTATTGTATTTTAGTCAGAAGCAACATTTTGAAGTAAACAATTTTTTAATGATGGATTTGTTTATAACAAATATGCAGCTTTTCATTTGAAAATGTTAATTGACGGCCTGGAGTCGTGTGGATTATTGTGATGTTTTTATGAGCTGTTTGGACTCTCATTCTGGCGGCACCCATTCACTGCAGAGGATC